AAAACAGATTTCTTAAACCTCCTTCTGTTTGACTATGAATTTAAATATTAATTTGAATCGATAAATCAAGACTGTGTTTGTGTGAGCTATAGAGAGACGGTACAGTCACACCCAGTGCATTCAGTCTGCGTTTGAGCCACGCTGTACATACAGGATAATGGGAAAACTCAATATGACAGCTGCCTCCTAAATTACAATATACAGTGTATAGCAGGGTACACAGAGCAGGGGGAATGGGGCAGTTTCTTTCACCAGACATAAATTCATCTTGACAACATAATCAGCATTGCTATCTTATGAAAAGACAGGATTTCCCTCCATGGCGACACACTGCAGTGACCAAATGTGTCAAACGACTTCATGTCCGGAAACGCAGGGAAAACATTTAAGAGGATGAGAACACAGAGACAAACTCAAAACAAATTAGCTCACAGCTGCATGAGAGTCAACGTGAACGGTCCTACTTTTGTTGTCGGACGTGAGTGCGATAATTATTGCAACAGCAGTGTATCTGAATGTCCTTGATCATCAGCGCAAAAAAATATTTTTTTGTTTAATTTTTGATTCATGTTTTGGAGAGATAACTTTCTCGTTTCTTTAATGAGAGCATCTCCTGGCACAGTTTTAAAGGATTTTTTTCTCCCCCTTATAATTGAAGAACACGATAAGGTCCATATCTTGCTAATTATGGGAGCTTTAGGCAAATATAAAGAACCAGTTTACAGCCTTAAACTCCCACACCCCAAAATGCTGAAATTTACTGCAAATTCTAATTCAAATGTTCCACGGTTGAAATAACTTGAAAGGCTTCAATGACGCACGCTGATCTGTGAAATCTTTTCCAAATGTCTTCTTTATGAAAGTTGGGATCAGAGGAATTCATTAAAGATCTGTGGGTGGCATAGGCAATACGAGACTGAGGCTTTCCAGTGGCAAGTCTTTGCCAAACTGAACTGTTTCCAAATCTGAAATCTGCAACACTGACTGAAACACACCCACAGCCACTAATTACTTGACCCTATTCCTGCAGAGCCTTTTCTCTTTGGAGTGATTCTGAGGAGACCTATCAGTGGAGAGGAAGACTTGTTTCATCTTATTAATGCAGAAGGTTTCCTTGAGACAAAGCCTCTCCATTATGTCATGCCCTCAGACTGCAGACCTTGCATTGTCTGCTTCGGTAGCCCTTCCCTCAGGCACATGTGTGCCACCTCAGTGTGTGTGTATCATGCTGGCAGGCGTTGACATAACTGATGCGCATTATGCGTTGTGTATAAGGCCGGCCTTTTTATGAGTCTTGTTATTGTCACTGATATAATGTGAGCCCTGAGCACCTCTGTATGTGCCACATGCATTGTGGTCTGGTTGAGGATGATTGATATGAAGCTCCAGTGATTAGAAGGCTCAGATGTAGGAAACCCAACGAGGGTGAGGTCAAAGAGGACAGAAGAGCTTTTTGTTACCGTCCTCCCTCACGTCGGAGTGAGAGGTTGATGAGTGCATTTGCAAAATAGCAATAAAGCGTTTTGCAAATCTGAAATCCAGACAAAACCTTAAATTCTTTGTGCATCGCCTATTTGAGCCTTTTTTTTAGTTTTACACAAGGACACACGCATAAGGAGAATGAACACAAACTAAAATGTCATAAGAGGTGACTAAAGTAAAAGATAAAATGTGAAAACTTAAAGCCAAGATCTGAAAGAGGTACATTCTAGGAGACACTGAAATGAACATAGTGACTCAGACCGCCTCACATCCTCGGGCAGGTTGTTGCAGAGCCTCAGGGCCCTGATTTCAAAAGATCTGTCCTCTTTAGTCTTCAGTCTGGACTCTGGAACAGACAAAAGACCTCTGCCTGAGGATCTCACACTGCGCAAAGGTTCATAAGGGATTACAAGGTCTTTAATGTAATCTGGAGACAAGCCATGAAGAGCCTTAAAAGTAATCAATAATATCTTAAAATCAATCCTTAAAAAAGACAGGGAGCCAGTGTAAAGAGGTGAAAACAGACGGGGTGTGATCGTACTTCTTGGTTCTCGTTAAAAGCCTTGGAGCAGGAAATGCAGCATTATTGCTTTGAAAACAAACCTAAAATGCCTCAGGAAAAGAGTGACAATCACCAAAAATCACCCATGTTTGGTGCCTGAAATGCCTCAGGAAAACCAGTGATGGGTCACCAAAAAACACCCACATTTGGTGACTGAAAAGCTGCAGGAAAAACAGCAACCCACCGACCACTCTGGAAAAAACACCCAAGTCTGGTGCCTGAGGTGCCTCAGGAAAACCTATGATATATCACCAAAAACACCCATGTTTGGTGCCTAAAATGCCTCAAGAAAACCAGTGATGGGTCACCAAAAAACACCCACATTTGGGGGCTAAAAAACACCGTAAAAACAGTGACCAGTCCCCCAAAAACCCACATTTGGTGCCTAAAATGCAGCTATAAAAACAGACGGTTTCCAAAAAAACAACCCGTTTAGTGTGTAATATGCCCCAGGAAAACCAGCAATGGGTCACTAAAAAATACGCATCTTTGGGGACTGAAAAGCTGCAGGAAAAACAGTGACCACTCTGGAAAAAAAACCCAGGTTTGGTGCCTGAGGTGCCTCAGGAAAACCAGTGATATGTCACCGAAAACACCCACATTTGTGGGCTAAAAAAATGCAGGGAAAAAAGCGACTGTTCCCCACAAAACACCCATGTTTGGTGCCTAAAATGCCTCAGGAAAACCAGTGATGGGTCACCAAAAAATACCCACATTTTGGGGCTAAAAAACACAGGAAAAACAGTGACCTGTCCCTAAAAACACCCACATTTGGTGCCCAAGATGCCTCAGTAAAACCCGTGATATACTGCCAAAAACACCAACGTTTGTGGGCTAAAAAAATGCAGGGAAAACAGCGACTGTTCCCCCAAAAATCCATGTTTGGTGCTTAAAATGCATCAGGAAAACCAGCGAAGGGTCACCAAAAAACACCCACTTTTGGGGGCTAAAAAGCACCATAAAAACAGTGACCAGTCCCTAAAAACATCCATGTTTGGTCCCTTTAAATGCCTAAGGAAAAAGAGTGACAATCACTAAAAATCACCCACATTTGGTCCCTAAAATGCCTCAGGAATACTAGTGATGGGTCACTCAAAAACACCCACATTTGGGGACTGAAAAGCTGCAGGAAAAATAGCGACCACACTGGAAAAAACACCCAAATTTGGTGCCTAAGGTGCCTCAGGAAACCAGTGATATATAACCCCAAAGCACCCATGTTTGTGGGCTAAAAAACACTGTAAAGACAGTGACCAATCCCAAAAAAAAAACCACGTTTGGTGCCTAAAATACAGCTGTAACAACAAAGGCAGTTTCCAAAAAAAAACACCCGATGTTTAATGCGTAACATACCCCAGGAAAACCAGCAACGGGTCACTAAAAACACTCATGTTTGGGGGTAAAAAGCAGCAGGAAAATCAATGACTTGTCCCTGAAACACCCACATTTGGTGCCTAAAATGCCTCAGAAAAAAAACAGCCATGGGTCACTAAGACAGGTCCCCAAAAAACAACCATGACTCATTAAATTGCAACCGTTTTTGTTGTTTGTTGGTCTTGAACAGAGGTCTGCAGCTTGGCAGGCATCTCACGTAGGTAACGTGCCATTCACCACTCCCTTGCCCCCTCCCGTACAAAAAAGAGCTCCTCAAAATCCATGTTCACAAAAATCCTGTTAAAACACAACTTCATGTCACCTTGATATCTCAAAAACCTCCATTTTCCAACCAAATGTACCCGATTTAAACAAGAACACTGATGCGTCTTTTGACAAATCATCAGATCAGTGATTTCTGGGAACATCCTGCACTTCTTGTAGTAGATCAAAAATAATAACAGCTGCCATGTGATTCTTATTCCTTTTAAAATGGATATTAGCTAGTTAACTTTTAGAGCGAGTGACCTTTAACAAAATGTCAGGGAAAGATAATACAGTGGGTTTTTTAAGGGTACGTTTCATTTTACTCTTCAACTGTTTCAGCCAAGGTATTTGTTAATGGATAAAAGAATCCAGACTTCTGATTCTGCTCCCGACTGGATTTGCATCTTCTCACCATGTAAAATGGATAATGATCAGTGTCGTCTCCTTAAAAACCTGCGTAGCATTTGTCACGGTGTAGCATGTTATCCAACCTATTTGTTAAAGGAATCAGAAATTCAAAAGAACGTACAGTGATTTTACTCCGAATGGGATTTACACCTTTTCACCATGTAATGACTGAATCAGCCTCACAATGCCTTTTGGTTCGTGGGAGCACATGAATAAATTAAACACGTCCAGCACTTCTTGCCTTTCATGCCTCAAACAGTGGCCCTTTGATAGAAACAAGGAGGCTCCTCCATGTAATTACACTTGATCATGTTTGCATATGTCACTCCCACAGTCTCTGTCACGCTCTCTGATTTTGGATGCTCCTGGGAACCTCTTCCTAATCCACAAGTTAATGTTTCAACCCCTTTTTTTTTCTTTCCCAGGGACGGATGAATTGGAGGAGCAGAATCAGACATCCTGTCTGGTTTATCTGGAGGAGAGAGATAAGTGTGGATTCCGCCTCTTTCAGGGAACGCACATTAACCATGCCTCGGAGGGACCTGGGTGTGGGGAGGAGAGGGGGGGGGGGGCGGGGGGCTTCTGTCTGCCGGGAGCGCACAGCTTTCACTCACTTCGAAAACTGTGAAAATGTCCCCTTCACACCCTCGGCAGCTCGGCCGAGCTCCGGCGCTATGTTAGTGGTGATAAAATGCCTGCGTGCAGTAGCATAGTTGGAAGTGAGACGTGCAATGTTATCCAGAGGTGTCGGACTGACAAGTCTACAACGTGTAAACTTGTATCCTACAGTGACTCCTGACCCTGACCCTGTTACAAAAGTCTGGAGGAGAAACCAGGCACAAGTTTGGAATGAAATTCAGTCGTGCATCTGCGGTGAAACTTGACATGAAAAAAGACAAAACTGAGATTTATGCAACAAAAGAAACTATTTATTTGGGATACGCATTGCCAGTACAAATTAAGAGACCATAAAACCTACACCTTTCAGCTATTTTTCTCCACAGAAAACAGGTTTGGAATTGGAATTAAAAAGACAATAGTTTTCCATTTGATACCTTTTTACATACGCAGAGATCTTAAAAGTTAAAACCTGTCAAGAAAAAGGCTCCACGATTTCACTCTGAAATCCTTATAAAAAAGAAGTTAACATTCAAAACACTGCAGTACGTTATTTTATTGAAGAACAAAAAGACATGCAACAAATAAAACATTTTATGTTTTACAAATTGTTCATTTTCTTTTCATGTCTCTTCTCCTTTTATATTCAAAAACTAAAAAGCATCATTACATGAAGCTTCGATAATATTTGACAGGCAATGTGAAAAGTAGAGTTAAGCCTTTTTTTTTTTTTTTTTCCTTATCATCCGAGGGGTGCAAAAACAATCCTTGTGTTTGCCTTGCATGGCCGGTGCTGTCAATTCACTCCAATGACTTCAGAAGACACGACTGAGGCAGGTTCTGTGCATCACTTCAACGGTGCTCGGCCCCTCGACTGTAATACTGAGCAGATCGGTCGAGGAGGAGGAGCCGCTCCCAATGATCCAAATGAGTTTGTTTGGTGGAATCATGCTGTGGTTGACCTCCAGACAGTAGCTCTGAAACATCCATGATTTCATACATGTGTAATAAATACAAACACACTGACGACTGTTAAAAAATACCTGTGGTTGTCAGGCTGTATGACTGGTCGGGATCTCAGGGTTGAATTTCTTTATCGTGAGTTAAGCTCAAAACAAATCCGGAGGGCGATGTTAACATTAACTTTTCACGTCACCTTCATTCGGACGGTAGCCATCTTGGAGGCAGGCTTGTTTCGGTGGTCTGAGTACAAAATAATAATCAGGATTTGGAACTCCGTCAGGCTGCGTTAAAATGGCTACCATCCAAATTCAAAGATGCAAAAACAAAAGAGTAAAGGTGCATATCTACATACTGTATATAGAGCATTCTTGGGCTAATTCACATATAATGGTAGCATTAAAAAAACAGTCCTGTAGCAAAGCAAAAGAATATCAAATGAAAAAGTTATTCACAAAATGGAGACATAAAAATATATCCAAACATTATCTGGATTTGTGTGCCATCAGGGTATTTGTTTCCGTTGTAATGTCTATAAACACGTCTGTATTCCAACTGCATGTTTTTGGCTTTGAATACAGAGTACTGGAGCATTACGAGACGCTCACTAGTACCGTAGATCATAAAATCCTACGAAAAAGAGGAAAAACAAAACGTGGATAAAGCTGATCCCAATGTAAAGGATAAAAATTCTGCCTTTTTTTGGTATCAAAGTATGTAAATGCTGATATCTCATGAGGACCACTGTAATCATGTATACATGTTAGACCACATACTATACTGTACATACAACAAAGGTCACAAATTTTAATTTCACATTTTGGATCGGTTTGTGTTGATGGATGTGGTGTCAAAACAAAAAGTGATGGGACTCTTGAAAACACAAACACTGTAGTTCGTTATGTTATCAAAGAACAGGAGTGATGGGATGAGAAACCTCAAGTGTTTTGCACTGAATATGTATGGAGTCATATTTGTGCCATAATCCTGAGCACACAATGGGATTTTTTTTAAAAAGTGATATTTTCAAGCACAAGGTATGATTAAAAAAATTTGATAATGTAACACAAAAATCTAATTTGAGCGCAAAAAGTCCCATCGTGGCCTCAGGATTATGACACAAACATAATTCCAAAATATGGAGTTGTATTTGTGACACAATCCTGAGTGTGCAATGGCATTTTTTGAAAGTGATTTTTTGCACAAACACAAAATATATGTAAAGAAATATTGTAACACAAAAATCTAATCTGAGCGCAAAATGTCCCAACGCGGTCTCAGCATTATGCCACAAATATAATTCTAAAATATGGAGTCATGTTTGTGCCATAATTCTGAACATGCAATGGGATATTTTAAAAGTGATTTTTTTGCGCTGACACAAAGTATATGTAAAGAAATTCTTATCATGCAGAGAATAATTTATTTTAAGCAAACACAAAAATCTAAATTAAGCGCAAAATGTCCCATTGTGATCTCAGGATTATGACACAAATATAATTCCAAAATACGGAGTTAGTGCTTAGAGTTTGTGCCATAATCCTGAGCATGCAATAGCATTTTTTTAACGTGATTTTTTTTGCGCCAACACAAAGTGTATATTGATAATATAACACAAAAATCTAATTTCAGCACAAACATAGGTGTCCAGTCATGGTCTCAAGATTATGCCGCAAATATGGAGTTGTATTTGTGCCACAATCTTGAGCTTGCGATGGAGTATTCTGAGAATGATTTTTCTTGCTCTCACACAAAGTATATGTTAAATTGTTATCGTGCAAAGAATTATTTAATTTGGCAAACAGAAAAATCTATTTTTTTTTATGTAAAATGTCTGACTGTGATCTCAGGATTATGACACAAATATAATTTCGAAGCATGGAGTTATATTTGTGCCACAATCCCGAGCGTGCAAGGGGATATATATGTCAAGAAACTCTTATTGTGAAAAGAATAATCTGAGCAAACACAAAAACTTAATCTGAGCTCAAAATGTCCCAACACAGTCTCAGGATGATGATACAAATATAATCCCACAAATGAAAAGTAAAATCCCAGCAACATGGTGCCTTAAAATCTGAATTACAATTTTTGTTTTGGATTTGGTTACCAGCAGTATTTGGCTATATTGATACACACTGACGATGTCTGACAATGCACTGACTGTATGTACACTCTTTTTCTTCCATATACGACTCCTATAGTTAAATCATAAAATTTCCTCTGTATTGTTTTCTCTTCAACATTTACAAATGTTACCCTTCGAGATCAATCATTAGGCTTTATTGTGCTTTAATTCTTATTGACGTGCCATAATTGCCGCTAACGTTGTCATCGATTTAGTTTTTCAGGTCAATTATTTTTTGAATATTGTAAATGCAGCCGACAAGCGTGACAGAACTTCAGCTCTCCTCTCGAGTCGCACTCAGTTTAATTGCTTGCGTAAAAATTGTGAATTCTTTGCATTATCATTGTACTGCATATGAGCAGAAAACCTGCTTCTCTGGCAATAAAATATAAAATGCCTTATATGTCATTGTCTGTTGTAGAAGTTCTGAATACAAACTATATAAATCGAGGCTGAATACATGGATATTACCTGACTAATATGACTGGACTAACATAATGATACTTAACAACGTATGGCATGGACAATGGAAGGACATGACGCAATAAAAACGTATCAAAATTCACCTCCAGGGTTGAACTTTGGCACTGTAGATAAACAAAATGTGTGAACACAGTAATAAAGACAGAGGTGTTATGACAGGGCGTGATGCATCGTACAATAAAATTCCAATAATTATAAAAATTTGTAAAACCGAAGCGCTTGAAATGTTTTCTCTGTTGTTATTTCGAATAGAGGTAGTGTGGAAGCATTTCAATTTACAAGACGTGGGGAGCATTACGCTGCTAACTGTGTGCCTACTGTGTGAATATATAATGTAAGAGAAATACAAAGAGGCAACATGGACATCAAGTGGAAACTGTACAAACTGTGAAGTGTGGATATGAGTCCCCTACGCAGGCTGCTAACGGTGCTGCGGTACTGTAGTCCAGATAGGAAAAGTGAAATATCTGTCCATAATGATGGAAATGTCGTCCCAGACCCCAACTGTGTCCCGCCGCGTGACTGCATACAGTACGTCACGTCCAGTCCCAATGGGGGTTTGAGCTTCAGTTTTAGGAGGTGTGTCTGGGGGTGCAGTGGTGGAGGAAGTTAGGAAGCAGAGGACGGAGGAGTGAAGGAGGGGGGTGGAGGATCAGTTGGAGGTGTCAGAGTGAACGCTTCCGGGTCCTTCTGTGGGTGAAGTCACTGATGAGGGGGTCGGAGCATCCTGCCAGCCACCGTTTGCCTGAGAGAAAAAACGAGAACAACAGTAGGGGGAGTGAGTCCATTACTCTCATATTCATTACTCAATGCAGCTGGGTCAAACACAGTAAGCGACAACGGATGGAAGTCCTGAGGGCAAGGTAGTATGTTAACGGATACTTTGAGCTATTCGCCACACAGTTGCACACAGCCTTGAGCCAAATTGCCTCCTGGATTGGAGGAAAAGCTAACCTAGCTCAAATTATATTTCAGAGAAAGACTGACATAAAGAAAAAAAATCATGTTTTCAACCGAGCAGAAATGGAGAGCAGAAATTACACCCCATCATACGCTGCACACTCAAATTCGTATAATGAAGAAAATACACAGAAGAAAAGTCGAGCTGTACAAGATTTTGTTTCGAAATAAATGCCTGTCACTTTCACTTTAAATAATATGAATAATATATGTAAATTGTACCAAAAGACCTCTGAAACAAAACAAGTACAATCAGCGTCATATGCACTCATTATGACGCTGACAGCGGGAATTAACATACAATGAGGGCCTTTCCACTGCCAGAGACGGGCCTGTTAAAGAGCATTTAGGATATTAATAGTTAAGTTTAAAGCCATCAGAAAAACTGGGAATGGTCCTCGACAGCCTTTCATTTCAAAGCCTGTTATTTAAGACAGCAGACAGTAATCAAAAGCGGAGGGGTCAGATTGTAGAATGTCTGACTTTGGTGGAGCTCTGCGTGTTTCAAAATTGTAATTACAGCTGTAATCGTCAACAGCATGCATTATGTATCCGCTCACTCATTATCCAGTCTTTTTTATTTCAGATATTTCCTTAAACTCTCTCATCATTTGTTGCAGTCTTCATTCATAAAGTCTGTCTTTGGATGTCTGTAAAACTGTTTCTTGGGTACTGGAGTGTGCATGTATCTAATTATCAACATGATGCACAGAATTTCTCTGCTTTGGTCTCGAGACCCAACATGGGGGCTGGAGTTGACATTATTATTACTTGTGGTTCTTGTATTATGCTGTACTGCAGGTCTGTATGTTGTTTCTACAGGTGGTGTTGCCATTCCCCAACAGACGTGGTTGCTTGACTTCTGAGGGCAGCTAACGTCAGTGTCAAACACTGTGCTGTCTTTCTGTTTCATTTATTGATTATCCATAACCACGTATCCTGGTACAGGGTCGCAGGGGGCTGGAGCCTCACATTCACACCTACAGACAATTTAGAGTCACCAATTAACTTGCATGTCTTTGGACCATGGGAAGCCGGAGCACCAGGAGAAAACCTATGCTGACACCGGGAGTTCATGCAAAGTCCACAAAGGAGGGCCGGATGGCAGATTTGAACCAGGAACCCTCTTGCTATGAGTTAACAGTGCTAACCACTGCACCAGTCTCTGGTTCTTAGACATTAAAACAATGAAAAAATAGAATGCATTATGAGTGTTGTGTCATTTTTTTTTCACAGTCGATTAAAAGAAAAAAAAAAAAAATACATAAATGTCATGGTATAGTATGTCGTAAAAGAGGTCATAAAAAGGGATAAAAACGACATTGTATAGTTCATTGGAAAAAGTCATAAACACGGCATAGTATAGTATTTCGAAAAAAGTCATAGTATAGTATATCAGACAAATTGATGAAAATGTCATAGTATAGTATGTTGAAAAAAGTGATAAAAACGTCATAGTATAGTATGTCAGAGAAATTGATAAAAACGACTAAGTATAGTATGTTGAAAAAGTGATAAAAACGTCATAGTACAGTATGTTGAAAAAAGTCAAAAAACATCATAGTATAGTATGTCAGAAAATTTTATAAAAACGTCATAGTATAGTATGTTGAAAAAAGTGATAAAAACGTCATAGTATAGTATGTCGAAAAGTGATAAAAACGACATAGTATAGTATGTCGAAAAACGTGATAAAATGTCATAGTATAGTATGTCGAAAAAAGTCAAATTATACTATGTCGAAAAAAGTGATAAAAACGCCATAGTATAGTATGTTGAAAAAAGTAATAGTATAGTATGTCGATGAAAGTGATAAAAATGTCATAGTGTAGTATGTAAAAAAAAGACATACTATAGTATGTCGAAAAGTCATAGTATAGTGTGTCCAAAAAAGCGATAAACACGTCATAGTATGTCAAAAAAGTGATAAACACGTCATAGTATAGTATGTCAAAAAAGTGATAAAAATGTCATAGTATAGTATGTCGAAAAAAGTCATAGCATAGTATGTCGAAAAAAGTGATAAACACGTCATAGTACAGTATGTCCAAAAAAGTGATAAAAACGACATAGTATAGTATAGTATGTCAAAAAAGTGATAAAAATGTCATAGTATAGTATATTGAAAAAAGTCATAGTATAGTATGTTGAAAAAAGTGATTAAAATGTCATAGAATAGTATGTCAAAAAAAGTCATAGTATAGTATGTCGAAAAAAGTGATAAAAATGTCATAGTACAGTATGTCGAAAGAAAAGTTCATGGCATGTTGAAAAACGTGATAAAAATGTCATAGTATAGTATGTCGAAAAAAGTCATAGTATAGTATGTCAAAAAAGTGAAAAAATGTCAGTATAGTATGTCGAAAAAGTCATATTATACTATGTCGAAAAACGTGATAAAATGTCATAGTATAGTATGCCGAAAAAAGTGATAAAAACATCAGTATAGTATGTCAAAAAAGTGATAGAAATGTCATAGTATAGTATGTCAAAAAAGTGGAAAAAAAAAAGTCATAGTATAGTATGTCGAAAAAAGTCAAATTATACTATGTCGAAAAAAGTGGTAAAAACATCATAGTATCGTATATTGAAAAAAGTAATAAAAAAGTCATGGTATAATATGTTGAAAAAACTGATAAGAACATCATAGTATAGTATGTAGGAAAAAACGGATAAAAAAGTCATAGTATAGTATGTTGAAAAAAGTGATAAAAACGTCATAGTATAGTATATCGAAAAGTGATAAAAACGACATAGTATAGTATGTCGAAAAACGTGATAAAATGTCATAGTATAGTATGTCGAAAAAAGTCATAGTATAGTATGCCGAAAAAAGTGATAAAAACGACAGTATATTATGTCAAAAAGTGATAAAAATGTCATAGTATAGTATGTCAAAAAAAGTCATATTATACTATGTCGAAAAAAAGTGATAAAAAAGTCATAGTATAGTATGTCGAAAAAAGCAGAAAAAATGTCATAGTATAGTATGTCGAAAAAAGTCATAGTATAGTATGTCGAAAAAAGTGATAAAAACGTCATAGTATAGTATGTCGAAAAAAGTCATAGTATAGTATGTTGAAAAAAGTGATAAAAACGTCATAGTATAGTATATTGAAAAAAGTGATAAAAATGCCATAGTATAGTATGTTGAAAAAAGTCATAGTATAGTATGTCGATAAAAGTGATAAAAATGTCATAGTGTAGTATGTAAAAAAAAGTCATACTATAGTATGTCGAAAAGTCATAGTATAGTATGTCAAAAAAGTGACAAAAATGTCATAGTATAGTATGTCAAAAAAAGTCAGCATATTATGTCGAAAAAAGTGATAAACACGTCATAGTACAGTATGTCCAAAAAAGTGATAAAAACGACATAGTATAGTATAGTATGTTAAAAAAGTGATAAAAATGTCATAGTATAGTATGTCGAAAAAAGTCATAGTATAGTATGTCGAAAAAAGCAGAAAAAAAACGTCATAGTATAGTATGTTGAAAAAAGTCATAGTATAGTATGCCGAAAAAAAGTCATATTATACTATGTCAAAAAAAGGAGATAAAAACGTCATAGTATAGTATGTTGAAAAAAGTAATAAAAAAGTCATGGTATAGTATGTCAAAAAAAACGATAAGAACATCATAGTATAGTATGTCGAAAAAAAAACGAATAAAAAAGTCATAGTATATCGAAAAAAAGTGATATAAATGTCAAAAGTATAGTATGTCGAAAAAAGTGATAAAAACGACATAGTATAGTATGTTGAAAAAAGTGACAAAAACGTGAACAAAATGATAAAAACGTCATAGTAGTGTATGTGGAAAGTATGTAGAAAAAGTGGAAAAAATGTCAGTATAGTATGTCAGAAAAACTGATAAAAACGACATAGTATATTATGTCGAAAAAACTGATGAGAACATCAAAGTATAGTATGTCGAAAAAAGTCATAGTATAGAATGGCGAAAAAAGTGATAAAAACATAATAGTATAGTATGTTGAAAAAAGTCATAAAAAGGTCATAGTATAGTAGGTTGAAAAAAGTGATAAAAACATCATAGTAAAGTATGTTGAAAAAGTGATAAAAATGACAGTTTAGTTTGTCGAAAAAAGTCATAAAAATGTAATAGTACAGTGTGTCAAAAAAAGTCATAGTATAGTATGTCAAAAAAAAACTGATGAGAACATCAAAGTATAGTATGTCGAGAAAAGTGATAAAAACGTCATAGTATAGTATGTCGAAAAAAGTCATAGTATAGAATGGCGAAAAAAGATTAAAAATGTCATAGTATGAGGCGTTGGTGGCTTAGTGGTAGAGCAGGCACCCCACATACAAGGCTGTTGCTGCAGCAGCCCAGGTTCGACTCCAGCCTATGGCTCTTTGCTGCATGTCACTCCCTCTCTCTCTCCCCCTTTCAAGTTTAACTGCCCTATTGATCAAAGGCAAAATGTCCCCCCCAAAAAAAATCTTAACAAAAAAAGTGAAAAAAACATCATAGTATAGTATGTTGTTAAAAAAGGTTATAAAAATGCCATAGTATAGTATGTTGAAAAAAGTAATAAAAACGTCATAGTATAGGATGTCGAAAAAGTGATAAAAACATAATTGTACGGTATGTTGAAAAAAGTGATAAAAACGTCATAGTATAGCATGTCGAAAAAAGTCATAGTATAGAATGGTGAAAAAAGTGAAAAACGTCAGAGTATAGTATGTTGAAAAAAGTGATAAAAATGTCATAGTATGTAGGAAAAAGTCATAGTACAGTATGTCGGGAAAAAAGATAAAAATGTCATAGTATAGAATGTCAAAAAAACTGATAAAAACGTCATACTACAGTATGTCGAAAAAACTGATAAAAACGTCATACTACAGTATGTCGAAAAAACTGATAAAAACATCATAGAATAGTATGTTGAAAAAACTGATAAAAACACCATGTGAAAAAATTATAACAATGTCATAGTAAAGTGTGTCGAAAAAGTGATAAAAACGACGTTGTTGAGTTTGTCAAAAAAAGGTTCTTAAAATGTAATAATACAGTGTGTCGAAAAAAGTCATAGTATAGTATGTCAGAAAAATTGATAAAAACATGATAGTATAGTATGTCGAAAAAACTGATAAAAACATCATAGTATAGTATGTTGAAAAAACTGATAAAAACATCATGTGAAAAAATGATAACAATGTCATAGTAAAGTATGTTGAAAAAAGCAATAAAAACGACGTTGTTGAGTTTGTCAAAAAAAGTCCTTAAAATGTAATAGTACAGTGTGTCGAAAAAAGTCATAGTATAGAGTATGTCGAAAAAAGGGATAAAAACGTCATAGTATAGTATGTCGAAAAAAGGGATAAAAACGTCATAGTAGTGATATAAACGTCATAGTATAGTATGTTGTTAAAAAAGGTCATAAAAACGTCATAGTATAGTATGTCATTACCTGGAGGGTTGGATTATTGGAGGTGTCAGTTAAAACTGGTCCTTTCCCAGATCATGATGGCCCTGCTTCTCATGCTGATGTATTGTATTGTATTATTGTAAGTCATTTTCAAGATATATCATTCATTTTTTATACAATGTTTTTTTTTTTTACTATTCTTTTAAACCAGAATTAAAAACTTTAAAATGTATATTGCTATAGTGTAATCCATGTGGACCTCCACTGTGCTCTAAATCTTTGGGACTACAACAGGCCAGGAAAGGTTGATAAACTCTGATGACATGTAGCCACCACATGAGATGAACAACTCTGACAGAAAATGCCCCTTCTTCGAAAAATATCATGTAAAACAAAACTACAGAGAACACATTAAAGCAAAGAAAAAAAAAGGCGAGTGAAGAGTCAAATTGGTAAGTTACTAGCCTTAGCTCCATAAATCACAGGCAAACAGGCTGGCAGACAGATATCCCACTCTTACATTATGCATTGCAGGGCTTCTTTACAGGGTATAAAAGTGAATAACACAGCATATTGTGGCAGTGTAAGATGTGGTAGAGCAAGCAGGCGTCCAAGGAGAACCGTATCTGTGAGGTCAAAGGACTGAGAAAGAACAGGGCCTGAATACGTTAGTGGCCTCTCCGGGCTACCACAGCTGGCTGTGGGATGCGCTCGGAGCAGCCAGGAAGCCTATTTGAATACACATACATGTTTTTATACGGGAGACATTTCATCTGATTATCATATGGCCACTGAGGCACGACGAAGACAGCGGAGGAACCCAGCCGCGGCTGTGACCGTCCTCGTCCTCTCAGCGCGGCTCGCTGTCAGGGCCATTAGTGTGGCAGGAACATGATCTGAGCAATGCGCTTGGATTGCTGTCCCAAGTCCACACTCTGCTCTCCTTGTGTCTGTCTTATCGATTTTCCCCTTTACGACACGGCTTGTCGCTGTGAATTTCCCTACTGTTTGCAGCCGCCAGCGAGCAAACCCCCAACCCCCCCCTCCTCCACAACCCCCACTTCTACCCCCGAACTCTTCTGCAAAATAAGACAAACATGAGGGGAACACACCCCTATGGCACATGAGGATTTGTTTCCAGTGGCGTGAGGTTTTATTTTTAGCAGGACAGCGGCGTTGTGTTGGGAGGCTTTAATGGGAGCTTCTGGCCCCGGGGCTGCTAATCACGGGTCAGGTGGTCAGAGGGATTTGAAGTCCAGTGCAGGAGGTGTCACCTGTTTGTGCAGTTCGCTCACGGCTGACTGTACGTGGCTGCAGGTGCTATGCCAGACCTGATCCAACATGACAGGCTCAGACGGCGGCTCTGCATGTGTGTGGCCGGCCACACGCCTGCGTACGCCGGGCAGCGGGCTGCCCATGGCGCGAGTGATACAGCAGCAATCAACTAGGTGACCATGGAGCAGAGACAAGTCCCACTAAGTGGCATTCTGAGCCCTATGGCTTTGAAATAATTGGTAGGGAGAGAAAGAAGAAAAAAAAAAAGAATCCTTACATTGATGCCCTGCGGACTGTACATCTGGTTGGCTGTGAGTCCTTCACTGTATCCGCCTGTCTGACTGATAACATGGCGAAGGGTATCCACCTGAAACATTCAGAAACAACAAACAAAGCAAGGTCAGAGTCAACACAAGAGAAACAACAGAGGGATGACGAGACGACGAGACAGACAAAAGCACACTGTTGCAAGTTGGAGACAAAAGGGTCCAATCAAACAAAAAGGAAATTTAAGATAAAAAGAATTTTGCTTTTCGCTTGTTAAAATAAAAACTATTTACATGGCTGTGAGAAAACAGTCTGCCCTTGAGACTGTGAAGAAGCTCCACAGTGGAGCCAGTACAAGCCTGTGCAGTATTGTCACAGCAGACATTCTAACTTGTCATCACAGGAAAACCAGCAGCTATAATTAATAACATTAATGATGGCTCTGGTAGGTACAAGTAAGTTAGTGGTTTTTATATTGCTGGGTCGGCTCCTCTTTGGGGACGTACACATACTGCAGTGGGGGTGTGCATGACCAGGGTAAAACATATGTAGTGGAACTGAAGTTGAATCAATGTGTTTCATGTGGGAGCAATAAACCCCAGAGTGCTCTCATGCTAGCAAGGATTTTAATATTTAAGTTGGCAAAATATATTCAAACAGCAAAAGTTAATGTTAGGTAAACTCCTTAAGAATCAGCAGTTAAAGCTAAAAATCAAGAAAACATGACTAATTCTGCATTCGCTCAAAGTTGAAATGGAAAAAAACAAAAACTAATGTGTTACGTTTGTAGCTGTTTGCTAAGATAAGATGCACCTTCTTTGAGCCCCAGTGGGGGAATTCGGCTGCTGTAGCAGTACAAGGGCAGAAATAAGAAATATAAAAAGAAATAGTGAGTGGTGCTGCTAAAGTGACAGTGGTGTGAGTAATAGCAGCAGAGTCAACAACTATATGTGTAATCTAGGCTTATATATGCTATGATTAAGTTATGTTACTCAGTGTTTGTCTGTATTAAAGGAGCTCTATACCACATTCAGTGAGTGAGTGAGGCTGCACATTTAATCGAAATATTCTCGAAATCTCAACATGGCCAAGCGCAATATCCAAATTGGAGGAACTGCAATTTTTTGATGAGGCTAAACTGTGTCACAAATACCATCATTAATAAAGCATTGAGGTGCTACCCAGCCAGCATTTGTATGTGGAGCCCATGTGGGTAGTAAATGAGCTGCAAAAATAGGCCCTTTACTGGATTGTCAAAGGGTTTCATAATAGCCCCATGCCAATTGCCCATATGTGAGGTTCAGAGATGCCCCAGCCAACAAATCATATTCAAGATGTATGGGAGCATGCTTTTCGTACAGACCACAGAACAAACACACATCATCATCATTTTTTTATATATATATTTTCAGTGAAAATAAAATGAAAAAATGCCCATTCCCACAAAAACCATGACTCATATCGCCATTGCAATATCCGTCAAAATTATCACAATATGGCTTTTATGCGTATCGTGCAGCCCTTATTCAGAACATATCTACGATTCAGAATGTGAGTCAGGATTGTCTGCACATGGCTCTCAACATGGAGGTGGCTGAGCTAGCAGCTAACGGGTCTAACAGCAAGAACAGTGCTAATAACATGACCACAACAAAGAACAGAGGAGCTCAGATTACAACACACACAGACTCCACTATATCTTTACATAGCAGATAGTGGTTTGCTGCAATGTTAATATTCTGAATGGAATATAGAGCTCATTTAATCTAATAGAATATAATGCAAGAATAAATGCAATTAACTACAGTCCATTTCTCCTGCTAACAAGTAAAAACCAAATGCTAGCAAACAGTTTATAGCGCCTTTAGCTTATTGGACTGAATTAGAGTTATGATATTACTTATATACGCCATTAGTCCAATTTACCCTTTGAAACCAGAGCTAATAAGTTAGATTTCTTCCAAAAACACGTGAAGGAAATGAGCAATTTGACAAGAAATGGCCCCAAAATTGCAAGAAGTAAGTACAAAGTTAAGAAATTACCTGAAAATATGCAAAAAGAGTATAATATCTATATAATATATTGTATAATATCATACTATTATTCCTCCTTTATAGCAAATTTTCAGTCATTTTCCTGTTGCTCATTTTTTCCAAGTTTTTCAAAAGATATCAAACCAATTTGCTGAACTTTTAAAGGTTTAAATGCGAGTGAAAGGCGTCCCAATGCAGCAGAGGAAAACTGATGTCAATCCAGGTTTCAAAGGTTTAATGACAACAGTCACACCTGTGCATGAAAAGTCAAAATGTCTACTGGGAAGTGAGATGGGTCTGCCCCTGTATTATCAACTGTGCAGCTCGCGGCCCTACCTGTGACTGCACGTTGGCTCCCACCTGAGCCCCCTGGTACGAGTCCCCATTGAGAGACTGCACGCTCATGAACAAGTCCCCGGAGTTTGACATGTTAAAAGAGCCAGCAGAACCTGGAAGGAGAGAGGGAGCAGTCGCATCACAGAGAGACAGAGAGCAAGCAGGGAAAGCAAGTTGTCCAGTCCAGCAGGCAGCAGCCTGAAGGAGCATCATGCAGAGGTTAGCTGGAAGCAAAAACAGGCTCTGTTAGATGAAAGGATTGGAGTCATAGAGGACAGAAGAAATACGGCTATAATCTGACACAAGAGGTGTTTGTGTCAAGTAATTATGTCCAAATGTGGAAATAAGCAAGTCATTAGTGCTTTCAAGAGGTTATGGCTACAACCAGGAAAAAAGAATTGAAAAAGCAGACCAAATGCCCTTTCCTTGTCTAATCCAAGAAGTTGGCTCAAGGTTTCTTTAGCCTAGCTTAGCACAAACACTAGCGGGAACTGCTAGCCTAGCTTGGTCAAAAGTGACTTGTGAGACTTTGAATTTATTTGATGACCAGTACAACAGGATACAACATGTAAATAATTCAGATTTATTTTTCCACTTTTTATGGATCTAAGCTGGTTGTTAAGTACTGTACTCGAAGCCCAGCTCAGAACAATGATTCACAACGAGACAAAACCATATCAGAACACTGAAGAGAAAAGTTGCAGTGGTGTGATATGTTTTTTGCTGTTTAATCACTACTACAAATGCAACTGTATTCAGTATCTTACTATCACGATCCTCACTCATATTTTAAGAAACTACAAAAAATATTCAGCCACAAAATAAGTCTGAAAAGCTGCAAATCAAAATGGAAGCACAGAGAGTTGTTACATAGAGATGACTCACCATCTCATCTAGTTGCACTGGTGTGAACCAGCAGATTTTTAGAACGTTGCAGAACAGTGCATTGCGAGTAGTTGCCTGTTCAACTCATCTCATCTCATTGTGAATCTCTGGTCTGAGCTGGGCTCAAGTACAAATTTAAGGGACTTGTACTTTACTTGAGTATTTCCCTTTCATGCAACTTTATACTTCTACTCCACTACTCTAAGGTAAATATCTTTTTACCCCACTACATTGGTCTGGCTATAGTTACTTTACAGATTACAGTTTTTCATCCATTTCCTGTCCCTTAAAAACAAATACATGGATGTTTGTGATTAAGTAATGCATCATCACACAGCTGAAAACAGGCTGTTTTTCTGACACCATGAAAACATGACTTTTTAGAGATGTGTGGTTGTGACAGGACAGCCATGCTACAAATATGTGATGCTCTTATAGAATATGATGCATTGCTGTGGATTAAACTACCCAACAGTATATAAAGAAATTCAAATGAGCCCAACCTTAAACATCTACAGCAGTAAAATGCAACGTACACATTGATGCAGCGGTAATATTAATCCAAAAAATAAGTAAAACACTGACAGGGAACATTTAAATGCACAGTCAATACTTTTACTTTTGATACTTAGTTTTGCTGTAATACCTACATACTTCTACTTAAGTAAGGTTTTTCATGCAGGACTTTTATGTGTTGTGGAGTATTTTCATAGTGTGGTTTTAGTACATTTACGTCACTAAGGGATGTGAATAATTCTTTTACTACTGCTGCTTCCCATACGTGTTCTATGCCAGGCTAAACATGTTTCCTATTCTGACTCCAGGGACCACATGTATAAAACTGTGTAACATTAGAAGCTAGGGATGTAACGATTACCGATATTACGGTAAATTTTCAGGATATGTAATAACAGCCCCATTCAAGTCTCGCGATGCAGGCGCTGCGTGAATGCGTAGCATGTGTAAACACAAAGAATGAAAACATGGCGAAAGCGGCACTCAGGACATTTTCCCCCCAACTAAACGTCTGAGGTCTGGTTGTACTCTGGGTTTCTGAAGAATGCCGAGGGACAGCTGGTGGAGGACAACTATCCTGTGTGCAGAACATGCAGAAAGAAAGTTCCTGCGAAGGGTAGCAACACTACAAATCTACTGGCTCATCTCAGTGACCGTCATCCACAGCTTTACAGCCAATGCAAGTTATGCCATGGAAACGTCAGTTATTGTGTGAGGGACTTCGGTTTTACTGAGATTGTCATAATGTGTAACTCTCAACGTATACGGGACATTTGAGCCGTATCTGTCCTCCTAAATGGTGACTAGGTTTTCCGTTTTCGTTTACTTAGGAGCTAATACTAGCTGAGTAGCTAATAGCTGTATTAGCAGCTATGTTGCTAAGTGTTTCAAAACGAAACTGAAAACACTGAGCGGAGCCGACAGAATATAAACCGACGTAACGTAACGCTAATTGAGATCAACTATGATTGAATCACTGTGATTATGGTTATTGTGTGGCGAGCTAGAATCGATATAGACGGCCAGTTATGCTTTCTTGACATAAGCTCAAGGAAACAACATAAAACGCTGTCATGTTAACCTTTGACCGAGAGCATGTACTCCTTTTCTCATACATGTAATCCTCTGACTCACATGCACACTTATAATGTGTGAATTTTTCTGTGTAGTGATGACCATTGCCCTTAGGGTTTTTATGGTTTCTCCTGCACATTTGTGATATCTATTCTATATATTGTATGTCTTTTGTTCTACTCTTGCATTGTTTTGTTTTATATATATTTTTCCTCTCGTGCTAATAAATAAATAATATATAAATTGTTTACATGTTTTGCTGACTGTTAAAATGCACCAGACAAATAAGCTTTGCTCCTGTAATGTGTTTACATATTTTGTTAATTTAAAATAAAATTTTCTGTTGCTGTGCCAATCCCTTGCCCCTTTAATGTGAAAGTTTCATTTTAATGTAAGATTTTGGCTGTTAACATTTTAGTATGATAAGAAAGTTACAAGATTTAGTGAAGTTATTTCAATGTATCTATTTTTTGGACATTTTACAGCGCTTAAAAAAATATCGCAATATTATCGTTTACCGTGATAATTTGGTCACTATAATCGAGATATCAAATTTTCCATATCGTTACATCCCTAGTAGACGCATGTATGCCTTAATCTGTTTTCTAAATCTCCACTCGTGCACAAGCCTAATCTCCACACCCACAGTTCACCACAAATAGATGGCGCCTTTAAACATATGTTTTCATATTGATACTTGAGCCCTATCATCATTTCTTAGACCTGTCAATGAGAAGAACAACACGATCAGTGAAAGTGCAGTTGATCACATTGCATCGGTGAGGTTCTCCAACGGTGCCAGAGCAGCTGTCATTACGCACGACCGTGGATATTTGTAGCGTCTGTACCACTAATTTATCACACATTTCTGCAAACCATCATTATGCAAAAATATCAATCATCATTATTATTAAACGTCAGAAGGATGATCGATGATATATTCATAATGCTCATGTCCCAACTGACTTTACAGCGTGTGCCACAATTCAGGATCAAATTTAACAAACATTAAAATGAAGACTGTTACTCAAATGTAAATAAAAACATGAATCAGACATAATTTTAAATAAAGTTTATAAATGTGTCTTTCTTTGACATTTTACTGAACGCTGTGCAGCATGCACAAACATTAACACAATCAGTGAAAATGGCACACAACCTGAAAGCAATGTGTTATGTATTTTTTCTCACCTTAAATTTAAGATTTACCTTCATTTCACTTGCAACTATCTCAGCTAATACTGTGTGCACGCTATGTGTGGTATGCGTGAGGTGCACACATTCTCACCGCTTCCTTTATGAACACCTGTTAATGTGTGGAAAAATGTGTACACATGTTTTTTGTGCGTACGCATTGTTTATACATGTGGCCCCTGACATGACAAATACACACATTTTTCAAAATAATGGCCTGTAGCTTTAAAAGATAACATTATTATTTTGTAAACTGTCAACAAGTCTCATAAAAAGACCACAATTAAGTCATAAATTATATGGAGCACTTCCAGATTTCTACTGAAAATAAAAATCTGGGGTCACAAATATGTAGTTTCAGTTTTAAAAAGGTTAAGTAACATCCTGAACTAGTGGCACTGTAGTTAGTTTATTAGTTATCCAAACAGGAGAAAATAAAACAAGGTCACCCAAAGAAATGTTTCACAGGTGTGGCCAAATGGTGCCACTGAAAATCTTGGGGTGGCACACCAAATCTTAACTCCATTACTATTCAAATTACACTGTTGTATTTTATAGGCTAGCTCAAGGGTCGGCAACCTTCACGATCAAAAGAGTCATTTTTGTTCTACAACAGTCCTGTGATAAAGTGTCTGGTTGTCCTCTTCCTTACTAGGACAAATTTACGGCTTCAATTTGACACTGATCATAAGGAACAAAGAAAAGTCAGCAAAGACTTGAGGGCACCCATACGACCCATTTTCATTCGGATATCTTGAGGTGAGAGTCCAAGAGACCCCTTTAAAAAACTGCCATGCCAGTTGTTTCCATCACCAAAATCTAGCCTCCATTTGGAGTGTTATTTAGCCCCCTTCCTGACAAGCTATGCCGGCATGGATGGTACCAATAGATTCCTTAAAATTAAGTTAAGTTCCTAGTTTCAGTGTGCTGCAGCCTTTTCAAGACCATATTGTTGGCCATGGCCCACCCTTTTGGGATGCTACTTAATATCAAAACAGATTTGATGATAATGAGTATTTACATGTGATATATGTAAGGTAAGAGTCAAACTACAGTGGCCACTACATGGTAACAACGGATGATGTCACCCATTGAAACAGTGTGGCTCACTGATGTGAGCTGTGTGGCACACAGGAATAAGATAAATCAGGAAGTACTCGTTAGTAAAGTCAATTCATTGTTGGTTTTGCCTTTTTGTGAGATTTGTTGACAGTAAGAAAGAAGTACAGAATATCACTGCATGTATACTTTGAATGTGAGCAGAGCAGAACATGATGAAAACAGAGTTAAAGAGTCATACATGAAGAATATGATTAATTGAGATGAAGAAAAAAGGACAGTAAGAATAGGGAGACTTGGCATGGGGCTCAGGTTGGCTCATTTCTGACACAGCGTTACTCTAAAGGGGCAGCTGTTCTTGTTAAGGTGTGAACCTGTTTAATACAATAATGGTGCATTACCAGGTGATAGGCACGTCCCTTGTACAAGAACTGCCATTCTGTTAGTCCTAATTTTTACTAATCACCAGCACCAGCATTGAAATAGCCTCAGACTGATAGACTGCATTAGTTGAGTTGTAGTAATGCACAGAGAGGAGTTACATGTCCAATATAGCTGAGCAGAGCCAGGGACTTCCTGTCTCACCTGCAGAGTTTGGAGTTGAGGGTGAATTTGCTTGGCTTCCATGTGAGGATGCATTAGCCGCATTCACGGCAGTTCTCGCAGCGTACATGTTGGCTTCTTCTTGGAACTTACCAATGTTTTTCTTGTATCTGATTCTTTTATTCCCAAACCAGTTGGAAACCTGAGCAGACAAAGAAGAGAATGTAGTTTAATGTTCATGAAATCTTAACATACACATAGCCTCTCCACATTTGAGGGCAAGCATTCAGAGATATCAGGGTAGTCTTTAGCTTGCATGGCCTTAATGGCATGTGTTACACTGCAGAGAGCCTTTGTCAGAGGTATGGGGCTACATAGACTGGTGCTGTGAATCCGCATTAGTGCCAGAATGGAATGATTGCCAATAACAGTCTCATTATGTCACCATGACTGCAGCTATCATCAGAACTCACGCAAGCACCAATCAGTCAACATCCGCTAACACCCATTACTGCTAATGGACTCCCAGATGAAGCCAGGGGGGTAATCCCAGCGCTAATGATAAACAACATTAAAATGAAAACCAAATCAATCCTGCAAAGTTTCCAATACACAGAGTAGGTAAACATTCTCCTTTATTATGGCCAAGAAACGGAAACTCTACAAATCATTCAGCCGCCGAGCGGCTTCCACAATCAGGCCCAGATGCATCCTCAAATCATTTGGTACAAATTAATGAAACCAATTGAGAAAACAATCCATTCCCAAATGATGGATTCAAAACACAAACTGCTGTTTACCTTGGCGATGCTTTCCTTATTATCAATTCTCACAGGATTGAAACAACTTGAGCGCTAGAATGCAAAGATGAAAAAAAAACAAGGTGCCTAAATATTTGAGTCTTTTTGCTCGTCAGCAGCAAACATCTCAACTGTCTGTAGATAAGTTACTGATTTATAGAAAATCATCACTGCTCTGCACATGACTCAAATGACTGCTGATTCTCAGAGACTAATGATCTTGTAAATTACGTCCATGTACTGTTGAGCTGAAGCTATTTTTTTCCACAATTGATTAAGGTATTGATTCTTTTTTTTTATTAATCAATTAGTAGTTTTGACTTGGTTTGATGAGCAGCCAAAAAACATGATTTTTATAATCATATGAAACAAAGAAAAGTTTCCAACACTTTATAATAACCATCATTAATGAATGTCAACAATGAAATGACAATCATGTTTACTTATTATTAGTTATTAATAGTATATGTTTTATTTTAACCGTTTTTTGTCTCACTGTCTCATCTATAAATATTATTTGGGTAGCCATTATGAAGTTGCAATGATTACAGATGCTCTACACAGCATTTATGAACCCTTTGAACTCTGTAAGAGAAATGGCCTGCCAGTGTCTACATTGGTATTTTTGCTTACTGTGATGTCATTTCTTGGCGTATCTTAAAATACTTCATATCCCTAAAATCTGCACAACCTCAGCTAAAAGGAAAAAACAAAAACAAAAAAACAAAAAAACATGAAACTCTATTAGGAGCTGTGCCTTGTTAAAATAAATCCAAACCTATATGACTGGACCATGTGGGAATTTAATTTGAAAGGACAGACACAGGAAGTGTCCACGCTCAGCAGTCAGACAGGAGTCAGGTTAATTTCCAGGGCTGGTACCTACGGTAGCACAGTGTTAACAATGTTACTAATACTATTCTTTCTCACACCTTCAACTCAAACCACCAAAATATATCATTTAATAATTACGTTAATTTCATAAACATGCGGGCGCCTAGTCAACTAATGGCCCTAAATGACAACTATTGGTCGACTAGGAAAATTCAAAGTTGTGGGCAGCCCTAATAAGGTCATGACATTATGATGGGGAAGACAGAACCCTCAGCTTTCTGCTGCAAAAGAATGAATTCTCTATCTATTATGCTTCTTATTTTAGATCTATTCTAAAAGGGTCATACAAACAAATTTCCATCCGTTCGTAATGGCTTAACCATTTAACAAGGTATTATAATCATCAGTTGCTACTCCATAATGGCCATCCAAATAATCTTTCTAGGTAGTTTTACAAACCAATTATCAACCATTTACAAATACTAAATATAATACATAAAATGTTCTACACGTATCATTAAACACTATTTATTATCATTTCACTGTTTGTTAACAGTAAAAAAAACCTATTAACTAAAGTTCAATTCAATATCAATTTACTATTTATTCTTGACGGTTATTATAAAGTGTTACAGATTCTTTTAATTTATTTAAATGAAGTGATTAAAACTATATCCAATGTGTCACAGCTCACATAAGTACTTTGACCGTCTCTGGATTTTGTATATTTTGAGTATTATAAAAAATTTGTTTCACTATATGATTAGATGAGAACTATGACAGCAGTGTTGTCGTTAGCTTGCGTTACTTCAATAGAAACAAAGAGTCATTGGTCAAAAATAGCTTTGTCTGGTTTGAATCACAAGACAACAAACTTATGACATGGCATATTTATACTTTGAGTCCTTTGTTGTCTCAATGAAAGGTACTGTTAAAGATTAGAGGAGCTGTCTGTACTCATGACAGTCAGAAAACTTATTATTAGGTTACTTGCCAAGACGCTCACGGCTGCTTCACATTTGAAATCGTGTTTTGTCTCACTCTTCTGTGTGCAGTGGTTTTCCTACAGGTGCTGTGGTGTGCTGTGGGATGATCTGTGGTGTACCTGGGCAACTGTGATGGCACACTTCTTTGCCAGTTCTTCTTTAGCCTCCTCGCTGGGGTACGGGTTACTGAGGTGTGAGTAGAAATACTCGTTCAGGATCTCTGTTGCCTGCTTGTTGAAGTTTCGTCTTTTCCGTCTGCAAAAAGAGCATTGGAAGTTAAAACAGGGGTTAAGGTTTGGCGACTGGATGAATATATCGGCTATCAGTGACTGACCGAGTACTTCGTGATACTAAGCGATTTGGTGGTCTGAAGACTAAGTAACTCATTAATAAACATTGCATACACACAAAACGAGGCCTGAAAGAGACATACGCCACTTCCCATGCAAAAGTTGTGATCTATTAAAACAGACTTGATGGAAGAAACTTTGACCCATGCTTACAAACATTTTGGAGATGGGAAATTTTTAGTATGGATCCGCACTGTTTTATAAATGAGACCCCAAGTGAGAGCTGCTGCTCAGCGCTAAATCGAAATGCTAACGAGCTAAACCAGTAGCACAAAAAGGCAGCATATTTTCACATCTAACTCGGTAAATTAAGAGTTTATTTCGATGAAACCAGAACTGGTGATTGTTGGAACAGCTAAAAGACTTATAAATATGCTTTTGGTGACTTTTATTTTGTTTCTGTTGATTCTGAATCAAGTGCGTTTAACAAAGCAATTAAGCTAACGTCAGTCTTCATTTGGCTAACGAGATAACCTTGGAGCTGCAGCAGCTCAGCTCTTAGGGAGTGGTTGGGAACCAGAGGGTAACCGGCTCAAGTCCCCGTACAGACTGTGCATGGAGTGTGGACTGGTAGTCAGAGAGGTGCCAGTTTGCCTCCCGAGCACCACCAAGGCGCTCTCAAGCAAGGCACCATACCACCAACTGCTCGAGGCACCTGTCCAAGGCAGCACCCTCACTCTAATACCTCACCATTTAATGCATGTACAGGTCCTGTTTAAGCATGTGTGTGTATTTCAGAGTGGAAAAATTGAATTTCCCCTCAAGGATTAGTGCAAGAAAATGTCTATTCTTGACATTTATTTTGGTTATTAGTTGAAATAAAAAGGCTACGAGAGCTTGTAGAAGGTAGAGAACTCACAGCTCAATCACATCTCCACCTGCAACAACCGTTTGAGTCAATCACAAAAGCACAGAGTGGAGAGTGGCATGGGTGTAGGAAGAGGATTGCTGAGCACCACCTGGGCGCCACCCAGAAAATATGTCAGAAAATATATTTTAAAAGGATGTATATTAGTTATTTTAAATCATGTTTTGAGGTCATATCATGATGTCAGGTCAGAGTATAAGGATCAAGCTCATGGCTCATGGCTCAGAGAGTTGCAGTAGCAGGAGCTAATCAATAGCACGGACAGGCTGAGAAAGATTGAAAAATTGACACAGTTTTGCTTTTTAAAACCGGGAAATATCTCGAATGCAAGGGACTTCCACCGAGTCCAATCAAAATGAAATTTTAGAAATTTTGGCACATGCAGTCCAGAGAGAAATTGTGTCTATGGTGAGGGAGCGTACATTCTTTGGACGATTGAACAGAAGTTTAAGATGCTGGCTTGATACTGGTCTTCAGATAACGTGGTCTCTTTAGATCTCCCGGTCTTGCTTTGGACGAACATGACCTGCTTTGTAAAAACCTTTGCCATGCAAGAAACTTTCAATTTAGCTGCAGCTTTGCTCGGAGACACTTTGTCAGGACTCGGGAGAACAATTTGACCCAGATCTGCTTCACTACAGTTCCTTTTATGAGCGACTGAAAAAAGAATTGGCAGGAGCAATAATAATACATAGAGAGCCATTATAATCTACTCAAGATCTACGATGAAAAACCAAAAACAGTCCATTGAATAAAGACTTTAATAGCAATGAGTGCCAATTAGATAATCAGATATATAGAAACTAAGTGTGGAAAAAATATACAATTCAAAGAATGAACTGAATTAATATTTGATAATGTTGGCGAGGCTGGGCATCCAATTCTAATACTGAACAAAATGTATTTTTACTTATTCTTTAACCAGACAGTTTTGAATTTAAAAATCATTAATATTTTTGATAATTTTGGATTTAATAGATAGGTGTTAGGCTTTTTAAGTTTTTGTACCTTGTGGTTAGGGTTAGACATCAACATCTGGCTTCTTTTGTTGAACAAAAAACTCTGAAAATCCTTTATATTCTTCCAACCTGCAACCATTTTTATCCTCTTGCAGCAACACAACAAGCTGTAAACACAACACTGACTTATGAAGCTGTTGTGGCAAATCTGGTAAATGCTCCACTGTGTTCACCAGCTAGTGCATAACTGTGTCTGCCTGCTGAGCAGGTTGTGTGCAGTGGCTTCATCAGAGCTGAAAACAGCTGTGTCTGAACCAAAACAGTAAAACTGCGGCCTGCAAAACCAAAACAATGAGCTGAAAGATGCTGAAAGTAGCGTACAGCTGAGGGAACTACAGAGTCAGGTGACAGTTCTCTCTGGGCTTTAAAGCAAGATACAGTCGGAGTTTGTGTGAACGCCAACAAAATGTCTCATCCTTTAACCCCCAGGGGAAAAACAAAGCATTCACTACCTTGCTGAAAGGTACATCAAACAAAGTTGAAGGGTATTTTTCCACCAGGACCCTATTTTCACACATTTTTGTGTCTAAGTGACCAATGTCCGACAACATTATTGAAAGGATCTTTATAGAAACTTTTTTTTTTTTTTTTTTAAAGATAATAGTTTTTGTTTTATCAGAAACATACCCAAAATCGCAATCATCACACCCACCAGACTCCATTTAAATAAACTGCAATTCTATCATTGTAAAACATACTTGATTCAAAGTCCAAAGAAACAAAATGAAACACATAGAAACCATCTTGGTTTGTATTTCTACTGTTTCAACAAGCGCCAGCTCCGGTTTGGTTGACATAAACCCTTAATTCACGCAGTTAGATGTGAAAATCTGCTGGCTCTATACACGCTAAAATTTATGTATATTTAAATGGAGTCTGGTGGGTTTGCTGGTGGTGATTTCGGGGCTGTTTCTGGTTAAACAAAAAGAACACTGGTTAAAATTGTGAGCCTCGAAGGACTTGTAGTTCTTGAGGTTGCAAATCAATGCATGGTGACGTTATAGCACATCACCAAAACGTAGACTAATGCCACTAAGTAATGTTAGCTCTGCTTTGCTGTCTTGAGGAATTCACTAAAACATGCACGTTTATTACATCATTGCGTTATTGGCTGCAGGGTACGGATATTTTGGGAAGGTTAATTAATCATATCTATAGCAAATCTAATATTGTCTGAGTTTAAAAAAACGCACTTTACTAGCATTTACAGGCTGACCACGTCCCCTAACTATGACTAGACACTGACTCTATCTATCAAAACTGTTTTAAAGAGTAACTGTCTAATAGCAAACACACTGATAATCCTTGTATCCCAACATGCTAAAAATAAACGGCAGCACAGAATCAAGGCTCAAACATGAAATACTAACATACATTTTTCTAAAGCTTCTATGTGAAAACGAACCCCACACAGCACCTTAAAGCAGACAGATATCACATGCTGATGCCCATGAGTTGACTGACCCTTTATCTCCTGCACCTATCAGGTCATGTCTGCATGTGCCACATCTAAAGAGGGCTTTGCATAAGCTGCAGGGGGACCCTGTAAAATCTCTATGCATGTATCCACCGGTGAGGAGATTTGTGCTAAAATCTCTGTCCCGCACTCCAAAGCCTGCTTGAGAATATGTAAATGTGCACAGCGTGAGCTCCAGCAGCCAGTAGATTAATCAGCGGCGCCGAGCATGGCGATGCCTCTCAGCCAGTGAAAGCTCTCCTCTTCCTCTCCCTTCTCCTTCCCCTCTGCACCACCACAATCATTTGCAAGAGAATAGATAGGGAGCTTTGTAAGGGAGCGCATGCCTCATTTAAATGTTATGCCTCCAACTCAGACTTTGAGTGACATTTATCCTTGGAGAAATGTATGCAAATCCAAAGCACGCATCAAAAGGAACAAGCGATTACATTAAAAAAGGGAAACAGTTAGCGTTATGGAGCACGCAGGGAACTCTTATTGGCCAGTGTTGCCGGGTATATGCTGGTCCAAATGGCACCCGTAGATGCAAACCAGCCCGGTGTGTGTGGTAAGCAGCAAAACAGCATGTGCTGCAGCATGTTTATAGCATGATAGGCCTCCTACATCAGCCATTCATATGGATATCAGGCTGAGAGGGAAGCACATGATGATTTGCAATGTTGTTAAATTGGGAGGTTATTTGCAGCATGAAGCGTGGTGCGGTGAATGAAAATGTACATACACGTGTACCGTGTACAAAGACACACACCTGGCATCGAGGAAGCGGGAGCGCAGGATCATGACGGCCTCGCAGGTGCTCTGCTTGAGCTGCATCTGGATGGAGCTGAACTTGCGGTGGATGATGTTCACCATGCGCTCGATCTCTTTGGGCGAAATTGGACGTGTGCGCGACTGCTCCCGCAACAGGTTCATCACATGGGTGGTGAACTCGTTGCATGCCTGTAAGGAGGACACACACACACACACACACACACACACACATACAGGAATAAATATAGAAAAACGAACAAAAACACTTCCCCTGAGGTCAATGAAACTGGGAAAAAGACTTTAATTTGTCACTGTGGTCATGTCAAACTACACAACACACATCTGCACACACACAATGCCATACAGTATTTAAAAGTCACAGATGAAATAAATTCTAAAAAAAAAAATCCCGCTCTTAACGTAGTTCTGGGGCGAGCGTTCTCACAGAGCCAAGGGGGAATATAAGCGCTGATATATTTCATATTTAACAGAAGTGGTGATGGCAGTGTGTTGAGAGGAACCAATGACAGCTGTTCCCTTCTCAGACTCACACTTTCACAGCATAGCCACCCTGAGAGACGAACATGCCACGACGTTTCATTCATCCCCCCATCCCCGTGTGACACCAGGCGTGAATCTGCCACGATATTACACTCCGACTCTGCGTCTCTTACTGTCTCCTCTTCTTTATTTCTTCTCCTCCTGTCGATCTCTCTCTGGATTTAATCGTGTCAGGCTTTGTCTGTGTCTGTCTATCTGCGTGTTCATCTGTCTTACTCACATTCATCTGAAAGGGATGCTATTGTCGTGAATGCATCGGTTATCAAGGCAATGAGAGGAAATCATCCCCCCCTGCAACAGACACACAGATACACACAACATACTGCATGTGCTGGACTATTCTGGGCTGGAAACACAATCTAAAGTGAATTCATACTGAGCGTGATGTATAAGGAGGAAACAGTCGAATGTATAAGGGTGATTTAAGGCTGATCCTGCGTCAGTGAAGAATAAGTCTGTATTTAAAAGAGCAAATAAAAAGTGGGGAGATGGATCAGCAGCTCAGTCATGACATAAACACAGCTGATGTTTGTACTTTGTGTGTTCTGACGAGAGAACACACAAAGTGTTGCTCATCAGTACTCCAGTGCTCGTTTGGGACCAAGGGTGTAGGGTGGATTTTAAAATTGGGGGGGACGACGACACACATGAAATACAGGATTTAAGGTTCCTCCACTAGAAAATTCGGTCCAGGCATGATTTGAACCTATGATGCTATGATAAGGACTGAGCTTTCATGTAATGCACTCTACCAGGTGCAACCATGGCGCCACGGGACTCAGTTCTTATGGTAGATTTTTATATTTTGCAAGTTCTCAAGTACTTGATAATAATTTATGGGAGTACTCAAACATGATAATTTCTTAAATGCCCATCCCTACATATGACTGAATCTATTGCTTGTGCACCGGACGGTGTGTCGAGGGGCCACAGTGTCACAGTGTCAGTATAAATAGTGAAAAATGACCAAAACCAGTTCCACAGTGACATCATCAAATGTCTTGTTTTCTTCGATCAGGATAACAAAGGATTACAAAACCTAAAAATATTCACTTTACTATAATAAGACAAAGAAAAGCTGAATTTTTACTTGAAAAGTTACTTACATTTTTTTTCAGTTGATCGAATAATTAAATAACTGACTAACTGTTTGAGCTGTAAATACATGGCTTTCATCACAAAGAGTGCATCCACACTTGTGTCCTGATCAGTGGTGAAGTAATAGTTGATGAGGAGGGTGTACTACAAAGTAGATGGGTAAGTTACTGAGGAGGAAGTGGGTTTACTCTCCTGTATATTCCATGGCTTTTTGGCTGAGTGTGTGTACCTCGTGTACCTGCGTTTACCCTCCACTACACCACTCGTCTTAATGGTTAACCATAAAGCACAAGTGATGCAGTACAGGGGAAGTCCACAATGATGAGTCTACTGCCAACTTCATTTCATTTTTTCCTCCTCACACTCATATGCTAATTAGTAAGGACTACACCATGGTTTGTTGTTTTACATTCATTCTGTGAAAATGTCCACTACACTTGACAATAAAGTTGCAGTGTTTGAATTGTAATGAGGAAGAGTACCACTCAGCCTGTAAACACTGCTGTAGTTTATCTTTGGAGGAGCTTCATCGGGTTGGTTTTGATATGTAATAGCTTACAGATGACTAGTTACCCTCTTAAAAATGTAATTAGTAATGTAACTATTCTAATTACTTCATCAACGTAATGTAGCTCATTTCTTTTGTTTATTTTGTATTACTTTGGTAACAAAATGTTTACACCTTGACAGTAAAGCTGAAAAATTTCCGTAAATAGGCTCCGCTAAAAGACGATGTTCCTGCACTGCAGAAAGCTGCAAAGCAACAGAATCAAAGTTGTATTCTCTACATTAACTTTTTACCGGAAATATTATATTTGGATGTTGCGGATCCCTTTGCAACCACCAACAATTTGATCAGTAACTATAACTTGATTCTAAATATTTCCTCAGTAATTGTAACTGATTACAATTACTCAATTAGTCGATGGATGGAAAATTATTCAACAACAATTAACCCTTTGAAACCTGGCATGACATCACTTTTCTTGTGCTGCTTTCAGACACCTTTCTCAACTGTTTAACCTTTGAACCCTGAGCAGATTAGAGTCGTTTCTTTCAAAATCATGGGGCAAAAAGGCAATGAGCAACTCAGTGAGAAACATTCCAAAAAATTAACAGATTTAGAAAATTATTTAAAAAAATAAATTAATAGGGAAAAAAGGCTAGGGGAACATTATATTTATAATTCTTATTATTTGAATCATATATTTAAAAGTATGCTACAGAATAACTATAATTTTTCAGCAGGTCATTTGTTTGTTTTTAACTTTCTTTTTTATTTTTAACTAATTTTCTTGTTTTTAATTTTCTCTTTTTACTAATTTCTTGCAATTTTTTGGGCTCATTTCTTCTTTCGACGCTCCCAGACATTTTATAAAGTTTTTCAAGATTTGCTGCTTTTTGTGATTTATATAAATGCACACTGAAGATCTTCATGTTTGGGACTGTTGGTGGGACAGAACAAGCAGTTTAACAAAGTTACACTGGGTTCTGGGAAACTGTGATGAGGGGTTTCCATTATGATGTCACAAGAGGTAACTCGGCTTGAGCTGGGAAAAGATGAGCTGAATTTGAAAGACATGGGTGAGGAGGGTCTAACAAAAAGATGCAATCAAGTTGCATTTTGGGAGATGTAGGCTACAGTGTTGTTGGATGATGACCTGTATAAAGTCAGGATGTCTCTCTGCCTCCGCTGTATCAGTTCTGACCATTTCTTTATTTAATGTAAATTCATTACGTCCAAACTGCTGGAGCACCTTTGTTGTTGTTACTATATATTGTGAGAAAGGTACATTTCTTGCATTAACTGCTAAAAAAGTCTCAAATGGCGAGCTGAAATATGGTGAGACACACATCAGCAAACAGCTTCCTCTCATGCTGTCTGCTTTCCTCACCTGTTCATACTTCTCCAGCTCTGTGTGGTAGATCTGTCTGATCTGGGTCAGCTTGGCCCTGTAGTCAGAGTGCTCTGCCGAGTTGTCCGCCCCCGCTCCTCCCGAGGCCGCTGCTGCAGCCGCCGCCGCCGCCGAGCCTCCGCCTTTCTCCGGACCGGATACGCCCTCTGCCAGCAGCATGTTGTCCAGGCGCATGAGCTGGGGATCCGGGGGCTCCTCCTCCTGGGCGCCGCGGATACTCAGCACTGCAGTGACAGGAGAAGGTCAGAGGTCAGTCATAAAGGTCACACCTACAGTGGCGTGATGCACCGTAACAAGCTGTCAGCTGGAGAGAGCCCTACTGCACGGGCTGACACCGCTGAGCTGCGCCCACACATCCACCCGCTCACTGTGAGTGATACAGTGTTTTGTGGCAAAGAAAGACGAGCAGAGACTGTAAGTGTGAAGTGTGCAGACGATACAGGAAGTGGTGTACTGTTAAATGACAATATTCTCACAATAAAAAGGGATTAAGGGAAAAATCAGTTCCTCCAGAAATGCAACATTTTAGGAATGAATATCAACAACAAAGCGTGTGTGTGTGTGTGTGTGTGTGTGTGTGTGGTGTATGATTGTATTGCTGGACTCTCCCTCTGCAGCTCTCACTGGACTGAAGAGGGAATGGGAAGAAGTTTTAGTCTTTCAGTTTTTGCCTGACTTTGTTTTCTCTCTGGAAATATATCTTTCACACCTGGTCCACTCATTACTCTCTTTCACCTTCCACCAAAAAACCCAATGCTCTGGCCATATTAACCAGATGTCTAATTCATTTTGAGCTGCAACAATTAGTTGATTGATTATTTGATCCACAGACAATCAATTTAATTGTTTCAGGCATTTTTAAAAACAAAAACTTCCCATTTGAAGCTTACACGATGTGAGGGTTTGCAGTTTTTTCTCTGCAGCCCGAAATTTAACGTTTGTTTGTGCAGGAACCTTTTTCACTAACCTCTCCTTTCTCACCGCTGCTGGGATAAATCCCATAATCCATTTTCTTTGTCTCTCCTTTTTATCTTACGTAAATCTATTTGTGGTCACTATTATTACTTAAATTATTACAGTTATTCAGTTTATTATCTATTCTTCATGGTGCTCCTTTTGCTGCTGGAGTTATCATCGTTAATTTGGATGTAGTTTATGTGACTCTTGTGCATCAATATGAGACGTAGATTTAAAATCAAAGTTCTCTAAAGTGGACACAATGTACAGTGCACTGTATATATTAAATACATGTGTAGATTTAATGGCTGGCACATGTTGGCAAGAGACAAAATTGACATCTTGTGTATAGGGCTGCACAATTAACCAAATATTAATCGTGATCAAGATTTTGTCTTCCCACAATTACATGAACATGATCAACTGCGATATTATCATTTAAAATGCCTGTTTTGCTCGTACATACTGCTTTCATTTGGTTGCATCCTGTGATGGCAGATGTATTTTTAGTTAGCCTGTATTTTGGGCAGAATTTTAGAAAGAAGGAAAACTTTATTGAAAGTCTTATTTTGATGCAAAGATTTGTTAATAAGCAAGACTGTAGCACAATGTGAAAATAAAGGCAGAGCTCTTGTTGTTAAAGTGCAATAAAAATATTTTGTCTCTAAAATCAATGAGTACTCATGACAAATAATCGTGATTATAATTTCCAGAATCAGAATCAAACTTGTTGATCACAGAGGGGAAATTGTGAATTTTGGCCATAATTGTGCAGCCCTGCTAGTAAGCAGTGTGACTGATACAAAGTAATCTGATGAAACAAAATGTTCCTTATCCTTGCAACACAGTACAATAAATGGGAATATGAGGATTCATCATCATCAGTAATCCTGATGGATTCCTCTGCCCTCCACTAGAGGTCTCCCTTGCCATTCTTAAAAAGACTCAAGTCCCACCTTCCATTTTCTGAGGTGAAAACACTCCCAGGCTCTGACTCTTCCTCCTCCATCTGAGAACCATCCATTTCAATATAAAACACCTCCTCCAGTGTGGAGCTAGGATCCAAATTGATCCCAGAGTGGACATCCAAAGTGCATCGACGGCAGCCGGCGTTACCGGGCCTCGGCCGCGGCGCCAAGACGAGCTGTGACTCTGTGACTTTACGCCCCGCATGCGTCGATAGCCATTTAAAACGTTACCATTTGTCATTTGTCTCGTTGTCATTGAATGAGAAGGGACAGGCAGGGAGCACTTCATTAATTCAGAGACAATGGGAGTGCTTGGTGCATTAACCCCAGACTGCTGTCCGGGTTGGTAGGCCTGGGCAGGGGGTCACTGGGATGAGAATAAGGCCTGCTGTACTAGCAGAGGAAGAGGAGGGGGCTCCCTCAGTCACCCCCGAGTGGACTGGAAATGCAAATATGGCAACTGTTGGCGAGTGGGAGAGGTCAGGGGTTCAGGCCAGAGGCTCAGCGGGAGGTAGATTGAGAGTGGGAGGAGTGTTGGAGGAGGGTGGATGGTGGGTAAGGGGGGTCTCTTGGGATGGCAGGACTGTACAAACATCCTGTCTCATTACCCAGACTCCTTAATCACTCCTGTAATGTATGGACCGGCTCGGAGGGGAAAATCTCAGATGGCTTCACACCCGTCTCACCTCAGCACCGCCACGACTGCAGCCGCGTTATGACCCGATCAAACCTGCTCCATCAGAAACTCTAAACCCGCCTGTCCGCTTTAGTTAACGTACATCAGCGGAGGCCCCCACCGCTCCCTGGCTCCTGAACACTCACCACTATGGAGAGGCAGTTTTTCTCTATAGTTACCACCTCATAAATACCAGACTGAAGTGGGTGTTAAAATGAGAGCACACCACAATATCCCATGGAGGAAAATGAGCTGCACTTTCTGGAAGTCATTTTCACTGGAAAACAACTCACAGCAGCACATAGTTAAAGAGGAAGAAAGAAAAACTAATGAAAGAGCGAAATAAGAAGCTGCATTTAGTATTACAGAGAGGATTGAAAAGGTTCACAAGATTCACAGAATGTTTGCTTTAAATTTGACTTCCAATTTGGCATACAGACCCCATCACTATGACATCGCACTAACAACAATCACCTCTGTGTAAACAGCTGGTCATTGATTTCAAATGCAGATTTAAGTAACATCAGCAAACAAGTTTATTTCTGTTGTCAATTTAAGCCATAATTGTAACGTTTAAAGATATACCGTAAAATGTAGATTAATTATATTATCATTCAGGGTCACAGTTTTAAAAACATCCTTAATGTCATAAAATGGTTGTAGTTCCACTCTAAAACTACTTGGTTAGGTTTAGGCAACAACACTACGTGGTTAGGTTTAGGAAAAACATTATGGTTTGGCATTAAATAAGTACTACTGTCACGGATGTAATATAATATTTGTCACCAATGCAGCATGCTACACATACTAGCATACAAGGTTACGTTGTTATTAAAAGAAGTCAACATCGACTTGAGAACATGGACACTGGTCTCCTGGGTGAAAGTCCTACATGGTGAAAATCCATTACATGGATTTTGTCACTACGTCACATCATTCCTGTAATAATTACTATGGCCACTAGAGGGCAGCACCTTACAACCAACGTAAGTATGGGTCGTAATAAGCTGATTACAGAGTCAACCTATGTGGTCATTTTTTGAGAGGGCTAGAAATTACATATTGTGCATTTAAGGAAAGTAAATAAAGTATTCACATATTAAATGTTTACAAAAAGTGAGACATCTAATCCGGAAGCATAAATGAGTTCCATCAGAGAAAGTTCTGCGGAAGGACATGCTTTGTCTACCATGTTTAAATGTAAATGCACAAATGCACGTTAAATCATTTATTTCTTGAGACAAACCTGTCTTTGTCAAACAAAATGATCCACATCATTACTAAGAAAACAAAGTAAAAGCACAAATCAAAGAGCACCAGCACACAAATGTAAGGGAGGAAGCTCTTGTCAGATGTTTCTACAGAAAAAAAAAACAAAAAACCAAGGCCAAGTTTCTTCCCAAACTCATAAAACGTCTAGACTGTCAAATGAAAATGGAACACAAAAATTCCCCATGTCCAAAAAAACGTTTCGATTCACATCTGCCAAGTTCCAACTTAACATTCATGAAGTGTTTATTTTACTTGGCTGGAAGCACCTCCAGCATCAGTCTTATAGGAGCGGCTGTTGCAGAAGAAGGTCATTTCTTAGGAGATCTCTTGGAAGGCAAAGAGAAAAAACACCAGTAGGCTGACTCCTTTTTTTTTTTTTTTTTTTTTTTTTTTTTTTTTTTAGGAAAGATGGAATAAGAAAGGTCGAGGAAAGCAAACACTCAACAGGGCTGGGTATCTGAAGCCGAGCATTCTGCTCAAAATAAATAGGTAAACGTGTCTTAAACTGACAATTAACACAAACTCCGACATGATCCCCAGGCCTTGCTTGTTGACACATGTATACCCTCACTAATCAGCCGCATATCGCATCCTCTCCTCACACGACGCAGCCCAGATCCCAGCTCCATTCTTGCTGCTGATCCAGCTGTCTTGGAGAGCATCTGTCAGGAGGGACCCAGGAAGGAACAATGCATTACGCCATGTTGGCTGTGTACTGTCATCCCTCATTGACAGCACATTGTCACACTTACACAGTGTCCTCTGAGCTGGGAACAAGCTAAGTAGCTGCTGCCTATAATATCAGCTCTTCCTGCCGCCTCTTATCACACAATCTGATGGGAACCTGCTCCGAGTGGGGTTAATGTGGACTCCGCGAAAAGGATGCGACGGTGTTCGTTTTTAATTTAAGCCAGTAATGAGTTTGATCCTTACAATGATGACAGGCATAATGGCAACAATCTCTTGTCTACATGGAGAAAAACCACAGACCTGCAGTGATGGAAGCAAATGATGATTTATTTATTCCACCCTGAACCTAAAGCACATAATTAAAACCATGGAGGGATTATCTCAAACAAATAAAATTAATAAAGAAAAGAAAGGGATAATGTGCTTCCATAAAATTGGCTCTGCTGTGGGTCATAATTACACGATTCAGTGAGGGCCACTTTATTGGCTAATGGCAGCCTAATTGATTCATCCTAATGTTTTTCGAGCCTTGGGTCTGCTGGGCACTCCCTGTCCAATAGTGCTGGTGAACTTACTTAGCCACCCACAGACAAACACTGAAGGTTCTCCCAGGGATAAACAATTATCTGTGTGTATGTGAGTCTGTGTGTGATTTGGACGC